GGAGCAGCGGGACGTTCGGGACCTGGTCAAATGCTTTCGAGAAGTCGAAAAATATGGCATCCAATATGAGTCTTCCGTCCTTAGCTTGGGTTAGGCTGTTCATAACTACGAGCATGTTCGTCACGTAAGAACGGTTTGGAAGATGTGCCTGCAAGGATTGTTAATAGTAGGGTGAAGGGAGCAGGGAAAAGATTCATCATCATCATCATCGACAGCATGACATCAGTGTTCAACACCGATGCTTCGCTGCCGCACAACCATGACTTATTTGAAAGCCTTATTGTAAATAAAAGAGTAAAGGTGGACGGGGGAGGGACTTAGTGCCAGCTTAACACCATCACTCCGAGGTGCCTACATCTCCAAAGTCATTCAGGCAACCTGGATAAAAACTGACAACAAGAACGCCACTGACATCGGTTGGCAGCCCTATCTTGCAGCGTCTCCAACCGGGTGCAGCCGGGATAACGGGTCTCCATCCCTGGAAGGCAAGTAGCACCCAAGCGTTTCGTGATCTCTCTCATACTCCTCTGCCAAGTCAAGGGTTGGTTACCTCTCTGCTTCCGCCACTATGAATTGGGCATGAAAAACAGCACCCTTTTCGGCAAACGATAGTTCAGCATACGCAACACATGCCCCGACCAACGGATCTTCTGGTACTGGACACATTCTTCAATTGAATTACCCGTTGCACAACCGAAAATGTGCTTTCTAATTGCCTCATTGCGGATTCGCCGACATCAACCCACACGAGCTGTGGTTTGAGACAACGATTGTCGAGCACCTAAAGACGTCTCAGTTCCACTCCTCGAATAGGCCAAGTCTCACAGCCATGCAACAAAACAGCTCGCACCGTAACTCGATAAACACGTCCCTTGAGATTCAGGGATAAACCACGCCATAGGTGTCTCAAATTAGCAAGCGCGACCAGAGCCTTGCAGATTCGTGCATTCACCTCATCTGTCACACCACAATCAGAACTAGTGCAACGTCCAAGATACGTAAAACGCTCCACAATTTCCAGTGATCCTGCCTAGATTGTAAGTAGCGTGTTCAGTGATCGCATGTTCACAAGCATGACTTTACACGTTGTGGGTGCGAAGTGCATACCAAAGGACGGGATGACTCTGGTCAGTTCATCCAAAAACAACTGCACCTTCTCCTCTTCGAGCATGAGAACGATGTCGTATAGCATCCAATATGAGTCTTCCGTCCTTAGCTTGGGTTAGGCTGTTCATAACTACGAGCATGTTCGTCACGTAAGAACGGTTTGGAAGATGTGCCTGCAAGGATTGTTAATAGTAGGGTGAAGGGAGCAGGGAAAAGATTCATCATCATCATCATCGACAGCATGACATCAGTGTTCAACACCGATGCTTCGCTGCCGCACAACCATGACTTATTTGAAAGCCTTATTGTAAATAAAAGAGTAAAGGTGGACGGGGGAGGGACTTAGTGCCAGCTTAACACCATCACTCCGAGGTGCCTACATCTCCAAAGTCATTCAGGCAACCTGGATAGAAACTGACAACAGGAACGCCACTGACATCGGTTGGCAGCCCTATCTTGCAGCGTCTCCAACCGGGTGCAGCCGGGATAACGCGGTCTCCATCCTGGAAGGCAAGTAGCACCCAAGCGTTTCGTGATCTCTCTCATACTCCTCTGCCAAGTCAAGGGTTGGTTACCTCTCTGCTTCCGCCACTATGAATTGGGCATGAAAAACAGCACCCTTTTCGGCAAACGATAGTTCAGCATACGCAACACATGCCCCGACCAACGGATCTTCTGGTACTGGACACATTCTTCAATTGAATTACCCGTTGCACAACCGAAAATGTGCTTTCTAATTGCCTCATTGCGGATTCGCCGACATCAACCCACACGAGCTGTGGTTTGAGACAACGATTGTCGAGCACCTAAAGACGTCTCAGTTCCACTCCTCGAATAGGCCAAGTCTCACAGCCATGCAACAAAACAGCTCGCACCGTAACTCGATAAACACGTCCCTTGAGATTCAGGGATAAACCACGCCATAGGTGTCTCAAATTAGCAAGCGCGACCAGAGCCTTGCAGATTCGTGCATTCACCTCATCTGTCACACCACAATCAGAACTAGTGCAACGTCCAAGATACGTAAAACGCTCCACAATTTCCAGTGATCCTGCCTAGATTGTAAGTAGCGTGTTCAGTGATCGCATGTTCACAAGCATGACTTTACACGTTGTGGGTGCGAAGTGCATACCAAAGGACGGGATGACTCTGGTCAGTTCATCCAAAAACAACTGCACCTTCTCCTCTTCGAGCATGAGAACGATGTCGTATACGTACTCCAGATCGACAAGTTTTTCTTCACAGGCTATTTGAACACCAGGGTTCTCGAGACCCTCCAGCGTTCAGCCCACAAACCGAGCGCTACTCTGCAGAAACTGATCCTACAACTGAAGACAACAATAATAGAACCAAGGGAAACAAGGTGATGCGTCTAATCAGCTGCGGCAGATGCAACAAGTCTTATGCTAGACAATCTGGTGGTGAATGACTATCTACTCCAATAATAGGGCATATTGTGACCCTTAGAATACATAATCAGTGGTCTCCATACGTGAGGACGAAGAAAGCCGGAAATCTGGTGTATACCTTGTAAAAGACAGAATACAGAGGTCGATTTCCGGAGGCATGGCGCTCCTCAACAGATTCAGTCAACCGGCACGTCGAACTGAACTCAGTCTACGAATCACCTGTGAATTTACTGAAATACTCCAATAATGGTGATCATGGTGTTAAACAGACCAAGAGAAAAAAAACCTATGTTAGTCATGTCAGCAGAGTCCACAACGTGGAACCTAGAGGAACACCGACCAGTGGACTGAAACAGGGGAGACCGAGCTGAAGGTTCACGTGGGCATCGGCCAATCAGGGCGAAGACGCAGCCAAGTCACGAATTATGATCGGAGATCTGGCTTGGGTAGTAACATCCATAATAAAGCACACTCCAGCACCACTCCACGCCTCGCTATACAGCAACGCACTGATGATGGTAATTAGGCCATTTGCAACTAGATTACCTGCCTATGCAAACAAAGATCATATACCTGGGCGACCAGTTTTCTCAGTAGTATGTTATCCATTTTGGAGGGTGGAGTCGTCAAAGGCACTTAAGTTCTTACGTTCTTTTTTGGATTTCGTCCATCAATGCGATAGAAAGATTCATAGTCGTTCTAGCTCGGCTGCGACTTCGTCTGGTCAAGAAGATTCCAACATGGTCTTGGGGATAGTTTCGTAAATACAGTTGCATTGACCTTGCTTCCATTACGAGCCATCTCGAGCCCGCTGTGGGTAGGACACCAATCCAAGAACGGTCGTAAAATATTCGCGACCACAACACTTATGCAGCCTGACGTATTATGGGCTTGGAATGGCAATCTTTCTACAAATAATTCGGCGTTTTTCACAGTAAACTTGGGAAAATCCACTGCTCAAACCATTTCATTTATTACTAGCCTATTTCTCTTCAACATCCGCGATAAATTGAGTATACTCTTCTTTCCTTTGACCCACCGTTCTCTCGCCTTCCCTTCAGCATGCGTGTGTTATTCAATCAATACATGGCCCGAGTCACACCGTTTTTAAGCTTCGAACGCCTGGAGCGGGAGTTCTCCACGGACACATTGTCGGGCACCCCAACGTTAGCCGATCTGAACGTGAAGCCGACCAAACTGGAGGACCGCATTCATCATATCGTGTTTCTTTTTCGACGTTATAACTACTATTGGGACGCTGTGGGCGAAATCCCCGAACCACCCAATCCACCTATACAACTGGATTGAACTGTGCGGACAATCTGATAGTCTTCTTTGCTCCTACGATGGTCCCCTTCTTTTCTTTGCCACCTTTACTCATCAATACTGCATTGTTACAGCGAGAAAAAATTAGAACCGTGTTATAGAAGTACCCCTTTCTCTAGTTTCAATTTGGAGTTGCCAATTTTTTCCCTGTAAATCAGGTCAGTCCATTTCGAATGTCTCAAACATACCGTGCAAGTGTTGGGTGTCCTTGTTGATTATCATCAACAATGTGTATCTGAAAAGCCCTTTTACGAGTGGTCACAGTAATCGACTGCTGGCATAGAAAGCAGTTGCGGTGTCACCATGTATTACATGATCTCTCGTATATGGTTTGAAGTAAAGTTAAATATGTGAGACCGCAGCATCAGTGAGTGTCCAGGGTCATCGGCGCGTGGTTAAAGACGTATGTGTGTACAAGCACGCACTCGCAAAAAGTCAGTCTTACAGGTCTCCCTCCTAAGAAAAACTGTCATTCTCTTAATGACGCTCGTTTATTCGGGTTGGGAGATAAAACTCTATCGTGGAGCGCCAACTAACTGCAATTCCACAGGAACCGTACGCAAGAGATTAGCTGTATGTTCTTCGAATGGGGTTGAAAACAGCAGACAACTTTGTGTTTCTTTTATGAACTAAGCCATTCGAGGAACTAATCAACCTGGGTTGGCCAAAGTAATTTTGTTTCGGCAGCCGATTCAACTTCGAGACTCCTAAAATAGACTAGTGTTGATCCATCAGGTGCAGATTATGTATGGGAAACTGCGCGTACGTCAGTCGATACAAAGAGCAAAGAACGGCCACCAATAGAGAGACAAAAAAGCAGACCCACCTTCTCAGATTAATACTCTGCAAAACCTTCTAGGTATCTGTTCGAAAATATGGTTTTCAAGTCAAATGTAGGGAGTCTTGCTTGGGCGCTATTTTGAAAGACATACCACACTAATATCACCGAGAATTTCTATTATGGCCGTTTTGACTTGGCAAGGTACAGAAACTTCCCTATGGTCATGTGCACTATCGTGCGAGGTCATCAAACATCCGTCCGCGGTAGCATTTCCGTGTGTCCGGCCACCAAGCTGGACACATTTTCCTTGACTGTTGGTCACAATGGACCACTTGGGCGTTAGGAATATCTCTGTGTGTTCAGCTGTTAATCAAGCTAAAGACGATTGAAACAGTGCCTGGCCATGTAAGTTCACACAGGATTTGTTCAGAAGCCAGAGTTCGGATGGGCTTACAGTGCGGCCGGAATCATCATCAGAGACAACGACATCGGTGTCGACACTTATGCTTCACCGCCGTACAGCTGCAACTATTTAAAGCCATAGAGCGGAAAACGAGATGAAGAGTGAGTGAGAATTGGGGCCTAATACTGGCCTCTGTCAAGCATTCTGAGGTCCTTACATCTCCAAGCGCCCAACCAGTTAGTCAGGAAAGAAACTGAATGCACGAAAGCCGCTGACGTCAATCAGCATCTATTCCTTGCTGCTTCACATCGTCTGTCCACAGAGGCCACGTCTGCCACCCATACAACAACAACGCTTACTGTATACTGGTATACGCGACCCTTAAGACCCAGTAGTATGCCTTTTCTGACGCCGCAAGTGACGCAAATTAGCAAATGTGATTTGAGTTTGTGTGCTTTTGCACTGACTTCATCAGAGCTAATACAACTACCGAGGTATATAAGATTCTTCACAACCTCCAGTGATCCTCCTTGAATCGTAATGGATATGTTCAGGGATCGCACGTTCTGAAGCATGACTTTGCACTGAAGGTACAAGGCACATGCCAAAAGCTGATGTGATAGTAGTCAATCTATTCAACACGGCTTTTGCTTCACTTTGGTCTTCAGAGATGAGGGTGATGTCATCTTCGTACTCCAGATCGACAAGGCTGCCACCAGTGACATTCTGAACACCGGGGTTTTGAAGACCGTCCAGTGTTCGCTTCATTATTTCATCGACGGCGAAGTTGAACAAAAACGGAGAGAATGAATATCCGCATTGTATGGACGCTTTTGGAGAACTCACCAAATACACGCCCAGATGTATCTGAATATAGGGATCGGATTATGCTCACAAACTTCTGGGGCATGCCCCGTTCAACAAGTGTAGTTAAGAGCACTGACCGATCGACAGAATCAAAGGCATCCTTGAAGTCAAGAAACAAGGATTTTTGGCGTTGCTCTAACACCTGACAGGGTGTAAAAATGTGGTCAGCGCAGTCTGTACTCTGATGATGCTTGGTGCTCATGAGTCAAAACTTCGCGTGCCACCGTAAGACGACGAAGAATCAGTGACCGCAGAAGGCTTGTCACATCAGGAGTCAAACTAACACCTCTGTGGTTACTACATTCACTGCGTGTATTCTTTGAAAATTGGCACTATTTTCTATTTACCGCAGTTGTCTGGGGCAGTCTCTTTCACAGATAGACCCAAATATGCTAGACAGGCCGAGAAATTCATTGCTATCCTTGAGCAGAGTAGGTGGAAGGTCGTCAGGGCTAGCAGCACGATGACGCCTGAGTAGAGATATACCACTGGACACTTCTGAGGTTGAAGATGGCTTCGTACCCAAAGTTCACCTTTTTGTTGAAGGCCAGGATTCCGGATAGGAGGTCTCAGGTGGCCAACTGAAGTACGGCGTCCAGCGGTCCGAACGTTCTCGTCTACTGGATATCCGGCAGTCATTTTGGTCCCTGAAAATGTCGCTGGCAAATGGCTTCCGAGGACCGGTCGAGCGAATCAAATAAAACAGCTTGCTTACACTTCCAAAGTTTTTTGCTTCTTCTATATCTTCGGCCTTGCGGGACCATCGAGCTTCTTGGTTTGCACGATACTCAGTTCTACCCAGCGTCGGGTGGAGTTCTGGTTGCGACCAGGCAAAGACACGGTCCTATCAGAGATCCAATGCTTGGATGAGGCTGGCTCGGTTGTACTGCAAACAGAAGTTCCGGCTCTCAGTAGCGTTTTAGATATTTTTTAGTGACCGTTTATATCCCAGATCGGAATCATAAAAAGCTAAGTTCACATCTTCATCAGTTAAGTCAACGATAGGAGAGAACCCTCCCTTACATTCAGGAAGGCATTGCACAAGTTCAGGTGAGGGAGCTCCAGATCTAAAGTCAAACACTGTTGATCTTCGTGCTTACCAATCTTGTGATGTTCTGTTTTCGTCGACTAGTAACTACCTGTCTGCTATTCCTGGTTGATGCACAGTCGGGAGCACGACGCGTTTCACCCGGTTTCGGGCTGATCAATCATATTCTACCTGGAAGAGAGGGAGATTCGTTTTGAAAATGATTTCTTTCACTTCCTGCCTGTAGCACCATTCTCATTTGTATTTCTGCTGCACTCATGTCCGTGTTCACACGATACACATGTCTGAGACTCGAACATGTTTCCAAACCCCAACACAGGTAATCTTTTAGAAACGCCGAAAACGTTTTAATCATTGCATTCGGAGAATAATGGCAATGGGATAAGTGACAAAAACGAACAGCCGGTCTTATCTTGACCGACTGCTTGTCGAGCTTGTAGGGCAACAGACCTTGTTTTGATTATCTCTCACTGACCCCTGAGTTGTAGGTCGGGTCGCTATCCCACCTAACATGGCTACTGGTTGTCCCGATAAAGTGCCAACTTGCGCGATTTTACGCGAACAACTTTATCCACAACTGACCCTATTGTGCGTTCCTTTGACAATTGAGCTGCAATTTTTATCGCTTCGGAAAAAAGGTTAATTATCTCTCGAAGGTTGTCAATAGCAGACTGCGAATGGTCGACACGATTTTGTTCCGATCGTTTGGTTACTCATGAACTTGAGACAGTGATATCAAACATTATACTGAGGCCTGTTGAACCATGAGTCGGATAGCACTGCATTATCCGAAAAACATGGTACAATACTCCCAGTTACCTCAGTCGAAATTTGGTTATTTCGTCCGCCTCATCTGGCCTCTTGGGTAAATCCAGTTATGAATACTAGATCGACAATTTTCGACGTTGATGCTTGTTCCTTACCCTGAACTGGCAATGTCAATCATCCCTCGTTTGTTTCCTTTTGTGCTGGAACCCCGTTTTTCTGATTTTTAAAGGAGAACATTCTGCCATGCCGCGCCCGGAGCCAAGTAAGACAAATTAGTTTATTCTTCGAGGTTACGTTCGCAAAACACCAGTAACCCAAGTTATAACTCAACACTTTAGGCTGAAAAGGACTTGTCGACAGTCCACTGTCAATTTCGTTCTGTTTAGCCCCAAAGTAGCCCATGTTATCCCCATTTACTACTAATGCGCAGCTTTCTAATCCTTTGAAATACTTTGCTCCGTTCTCAGAGTGTTGAGGGGGATCCACTTTTCGCAACTAGTTGCGAACCACCGAGTTACATCACCATTCGCGTCTCTATCGCTGAAAGCTGCATTTGTTCTCACTGGATTGTTCATATGTCAACTTTGCAATTGTCTAGGTAGTCGGATGATTTATTTTCTACCGTTGGTTGTTCCTCCCGTTTGGTTTGGTGCTTGTTCCTGCCGAGGGTCATTAAAACTCTCAAAGATGTTTTGGTAAAATCTCATTTCAAGCATACAGTACATCTAGTATAAAATCACTGTCATGTATCGTACAAGGCTTCTACTGAGAGCAGATTCATGAGTTTTTTTCAACTAACCGCATTGCCGTTGTTTTAGTGAAAACAAAACGCTGTCTTCAAACTTTGGCCTGCGTAATTCGAAGTCCATCTTCACTCAAAGTTGACGGCTCACTCATGTTTTTCTGTGCCTTCTTCCAATTGTCATTTTTCGTCGGTTTGGTGCTACTACTCATATTATCACCCTCCATCTGTTTCTTTTTCTGCTGGAAATACCTCTTTTTCAGGTCCTGCATTTCCAAATTGAGAATTTCCAATTCCCCTTTATACTGGACAATTTGATTCTCGTACAGGGTCATTTCGGCAGCCATTGCCTGCAAACGAAATGACAGATTGATGGTCAACAGAGTCCGGGCAATAAAAAGGCATAAAATGCTAGCAACTAAGTGGTTGTCTTTACGGTTAAATCGCATGGATGATGGAAACTTGTGACGTGGGATATGTGGTAGTTCCTTATGAACCCCACAAGTTGAGGATTTAGTGACAAGAAGAAACGGTACAAGAGACCTTCACATTTGTTCGGGCCTTCTTCGGGGGAGACATCCTTTCTAGGCGATGATTGGCAGGGTGTGCTATTTTAAACGCTGCGGAGGTGTGTCTTCCTCAAAGAAGTCTCTCATGGGGTAGAATTACTGCAGGCGCAAATCTCCCTTCGGCCAACATCCTTTTGTTAGCCCCTAGAGCGCAATGTTCCACCTCATTCTCATTGCATAAACGTTATGCAGCACCTAACAGCACATTAGGCCAGTAAATACCCCCCGATTGGTCGCCGAGTCTGACCCTATCCCATAACCACATTGCAAGATTTGTAGGTGAGAGACACTTCGGCAGATGCTAGTGGCTCTGTTGACTGTTTGCAGCTCTTCTGGTAATCCGTTTTCCCATATGAAGTTACAATCTGTGAACAGTAGGCTTCATGTGCACCGCGAGGAAGTACTAGAAGTCACTTAGAGGGGAATGCGGCCATGGCATATTTGGATTTGGAAACTTCACTTTTATTGTATACAATTTATTGAATGATTTTGGCAAGTGCGGAAGCTGTGCGGTTGAAGGCTTGTCTTTGTGGTGTGAAAACTGGCAACGGAAGCCTCAGCGATCGCTTAAGATCGCCGTCCTTACAGGATGAGACTCAACGATCATGCTTAATGGTCGGGCTAAAGATTGGGGAAGCCGTTCCAACGAAGGTGCACAGGATATCTTCCTGTATTAGTCAGGGAGTCTTAGTTCGCAACCACAGCCAATAAAAAGAAAAAGGATGCTTTTACTAGATTTTTGTGTCCTATTAGTCGGTTATCTAAATGAAAATTGCTCTAACTTGGTAGCAATAATGAACTCCAGGCCACTAGCCTCCTGCGATCCTGATCTGGTCATAGGGGATCTCTTACAACCAATGGGAATCTCACTAGGTTTGGATCAGACGAGCTGAAAAGTCCAGTAAATTGGAGAAGACCATTTTCTTGCTTTACTTTTCACTTACCTTGATTTGTTTAGTCTTATCCTTGATTACAGTCTGGTAGATATTTAATTGCTCGGCAACCTCTGGTCCAGGCTGCCGCGCCAAAATGTGCTTCAGCTCCACATACAACTTCTCTTTCTCTTGTATGAGCAGCTCCTTCTCCACGACTTCTTCCGTTTTACTAATCAGTCTTTTTTGTAAGGTTTGAATCTTTAGGATCATCTCGTAGGTTGATGGATCACTTCCCTGTAGTAGTGGACAATGTTGAAAGACGAGAGTCAGGATTCTGGAAGTCCGTAATGTGGGGACAACAAACAATGGTAACCAACCGAACAAACATTGGAATACCTCAGGTAGATAGTTGAATTCTCTCCATCCATCGAAATAGTATATCTGTAGCACACAGTGTATGTTGTACTGAGTAGTATCTATAATGTATCTGTTGGTAAGACAAAAAATCTGGCTGACATAAAGCGTGACATCAAGCCTTCTGTTTTGAAAAACAGAGGCATCCAAGACCTGAAACACCACTCGTAACTGTTCGCCTTTATAGGATATGAAAAACAAGTGTTTTACATTTTTTTCAACGTAAAGTTGCCAAATCTCACTGCAAGTGTATGCGCTCAAACTGGTCCCCGTCATTGGTACCACAATGCCAATTTTGCGCACCGCTGTTTCCCTACCATAGATCCACAATTTTTATAGGTTATCATGAAAAAAGAATAGGAGAATGCTGGTTGTCTACAATCTTTGTGAGGTGTCTACACCTCAAGACAATCTGGACAGATACAGACATCAAGAATACCAATCAACCGCGAAGAACGTCGGTTGATGAGTGTGAACTAAAATACTTTAGTGTTCGCACTCAAAGACGAAAAACGCACCTCCAGTTTTCGCCAACGGTGCACGTTTACCGGGTTTTCCAGTTCCTCCTCCAACGCCTTAGCTCTCGTTCGCTGACGGACCAACTCGCGCTGGACGCGGTGCACTTCTGCCTTCAAGTCTTCTATCTTTGTAGCAGTCGACTGCAGCAATGCCTTTTCTCGTCTCAGTTTGCGCACTTCTTCCTTCAGTAGATTCAGTTCCCGCAACCTCTGGTTGTACTCTCTCTCGCCTTTGTCTAGCAATGATTGTTGAATGCGAATCTTTTCGTACAGCAGAGCAAGTTCATCGTTCCTCCTTACGAGCTGGCTTCCGAGGACATCACGTTCGCTGATCACCTGTTCGTGTTCTTTACGTTCTTTCAGTCTTTCGTGTTCAGCCTCAGCAACGATCTTCAACAGTTTACTTTGTTCGGCTTCTTGCGCTTCAATGTAGGCACGATTCTCAGCTGATTGTACCTTCATTTTTTGTAATTCTTTCGTCAGTTGTTCCTTTTCTCGATCTACTCGCTGACGTTCAAGATTCTCTTTCACCAGTGTTGCTTCTTTTGTAGCAATGTCGTCCTTGAGTTGATCAACCTGATGAGAAAGGATTTTCAGTTTACGCTTCATCTCTGCAATGTCCTCTTGTGCTTCAATCAGATTTTTGCTATACAAATTTCTATCACTTCGGACAGCCTCGTACAAGTTTTGTTGCTGCTTCAGCTTTGTTTCAGCCTCAGCGATACGTTTCTTGTTTTCAAAAATTTGCATCTCACGATATTTCAATTCGTCCATGTTCTGTAACACTTTCTGTGTCAACTCTGCCGCCTCAGTAATGTATCGATCACGCTCATTTTCCAAACGATAGATAATTTTTCGTTGTTTCTGTGCCTCATCGCGGTAGTTGATGATTTCTTGTTCCATGTTCTGTTTGGAAAGTTCGTGTAACTTGAGCAAATTGGTCTGCTTGTTGGTCATTGCCACAGCTTTCACCAGATTTTTGTTCAGCTGCTCACGTTCCTTGGCCAGTTCGTCACATGCTCGTCTGTCAGCCTCCTGTGCTTTGCGCATCATCTCTAGTTCGTTTTCATAAGCCTGAACCCCAGTGCGCAGCCTATCTCGCGTGCTTTCTAGATTCGCCTTTTCCTCTTCACACTGGCGAAGCTTTTTCTGAGCTGCTTCCCGTTGTCTTGTTGTCTTACCGCATTCCGCCTTCAGATTGTTCACTTCTTCTTCACGTTGCTAATCAGAGAAATTCGTGGAAACGTAAAATATCATTGTTGACTTTAGATAGTACTGAAGTATGTTTTGGATTCAATTCGGATCTGTGAATTGAGTGAAGAAATATCCTTATGGCTGTATGAGATGGGTTTCTGCCAAAGGATTTCTCTTCAGTCAGTCTTTTATGTAAATTTCTAAATTAGCCTGGTGGGAGACCCTATAACGAGTTTCGTTTAGTTAGGTTAGGGAAGTATATATATATATAT